AATGAGTTTTATAATTTCTTGTAAGGGGTTTTCTTCTTTCTTATACTTTAACCTTAACTCAAACAACTTCTTTACTTCATCTCTTATTCTCATATCTCTGTTTCCATCGTAATAGTATCCTTGCAACACTTCACATTTGACACCTTGATATTTTATGAGGTCTTGTAATGTTATATGGTCAACATACATGAGACAGCAAGTGTTTGAACTTCTTGGAACGTTAAGTTCTGGATTTAGTTCAGGGTCGCAAACTATTAAATGAAAGTGTCTGGGTATACCAATCTCTGTTATCTTAATGAGAACAAAGAAGCCAGACATAAACTTTTCACCAATGGGTTCCTTTTGGTCATCATCGAATAAATGTCTCATGAGATACTCTGTGTTTAACATTTCTTCCTTCAATACTTTTGGAATACCTTCTAAAGTATAAAGTCTTGCTATAGCTGAAGGATATAATGAAACAGTGTCGAAGTCAGCAATGAGTTTCTTTTTGCTCTTTTGTTTCATGTTATCTGACAACATACATCTTCCACCTTGAATGCATCTCGAAATAAATTCTCTTGGTTTATTTGAGAGGTCATAAAGATTTCCATTCGGGAAGTATACTCTGTTCTCAAACAATTTGTTAGCAATTGAACAAATACTAACGTAGTCATAAACGTTTAAATCAAACTCTTTCAATAAGTCATTGCGGAACTTTACAAAACCTTCTCTTAAAATTCTTACATCTTGTTTGCAGTAAAACGTGCTATATTTTTCTAAGTCGAAGTGGTTCTCATCTATTCTGCAACCTTTGATGGAATCTATGTTTTTCATAAATGTATCTGCATCCCGGATAAACTTACATGCTTCAGAAATGACACCAGTTCTGTTGTCATTTGCTAACAAAACACTGCTGTAGTAGTTATATGGAAATACTTCTTTCGGTCCTGTTTGTAAGTTAAACATAGCAGGAAATAGTTTAAGCTTCTTATTTATAACACTGTAAGAGTCTTTTATAATAATTGCCCGTCCTTTATATAAACCAGTTATTTGCATTGTTCGTGAACCTTTAATGATGGGAGTTCCTTTCACTTCTGTCATGTGTCTTAAGATGAAGTTTATGTCATAACTGAGGTTGTGAAAATATATTAAACTCTTGTCAGGGAGTCGTTCCAAAAATTCTGTTGCACAGTTCTGACCCCATATGCTTTCACTCACTGAACCATCTTCACTGTCGTAACATATGTTAAAAGCTTTATGAAAGCCATCAGTACTGCACTCAAAGTCAGCAAAGAAAACGTGCTCAGGAATGAACTTACATTTAGCTTTATTTACTTCTTTTGACTCTGCTTTCTTCTTCAGTTGTACACAATACTTTGGAGCATATGTCAAATCTTTAAATGGTGCAAGGTTCTGTTTATATAAGTCAGTAGTATATGTGAAAAGTTCTCCATAAGAAATAGGTTCAAAATTTGCACTCCCACAATGTTTTCATAACATCCCATAACGGTGTTGTTCTATCATAACGAACTACATATTTATCTTCTCTCTTTGTATAAATCTTCATTTGTTTCTCAATGTTCATTCCACCACAAGCTTTGAGAATTTCTATATAGTTGTGAATGAAATATGTTGTCATTGGTAATCTTTCGTTTAGCATGTAGTGGTCTTCAACAAGAAGTAAGTCAATAGTTCTAACAGTTTCACATTCTTTTGGTATGTATCTCTTTATTTCATTATGTCTTGAGTCATTGAAATAACCAATGGTAACATTAAATGCTATACCTGTTGCGTCAGAAATTTCTTGTACTTTACTTTGAGGAAAGTCTCTAACACGAATGACTTCTCTCATGTGGTCAATAGTTTCTTCATTTACTCCAGCCTGAATGCAAGCATAAACGAAACAATTGTCTTCTGTCATAAGTGTGCAGTTCTTTTGTTCAGTTCATTGAAGATTTGGTAGCGTTCAAGATTTATAGGTAATGTGCAAAGATACTTCCAGAACTGACCGCTTCTCTTCTTATAAAACTTCTTTTCACCATTATCTTTCCAAAAGCTTTCTATAAGTGCTGGGTTTCCTGTTTGCTTAAGAGCTTCCAAAATGGCTTTCTGGTCATTTGTCAGTGTGCTTTCATCTCTATATGGTCTCTTTTTTGGTTTGCCTTTCTTTACATCTGACATCGTTAAGCCTTCATATTCTGTTAAATCATACATCTTTATTTCAGTAAGATTCTTTATGTTTGTCAAGAAGAAGTCATAGTGCATTTCAACAATACCTGCAGCATTTGCTTCTATCTCTGATATAAAGTTCTCCTTCAAGAGCTGATGTAGTAATGTTCCAATATTATTGAGGTTTAACGTAGAACATTCATACTTTCCACCAAGTTTATAACATACCATCCATCTTTGTTGTGAGTTTATTTTAATTTTCTCTAAGAGTCTCATGAAAACCTTACCGAAATGTTTGTGTAAGTAGTCTCTGTTTGGTTCATCTAAAGCTTCGATGTTAAAGTCAATGAGTCTATTGCCTGACTTCACATTTCTCTTCCTATTCTCTTCATCTTTCTTTAACCATCTCTCACCTTCTTTTGGTTTGTCGTCAATGGAACGAATGACATCGTTAGCTTTGCGAACTTGTTCTATAGCACTTTTAAACATCTCTCTTCTCTGTTGTTTCAGTGTGTCGTCTCTTCTTCTTGTTTCACCAACGTTTGCATTTGTTATGTCAAACATCTCTTGACGAACATCATGAGAAAGAGCTTTACGAGTATGACCAACGTTCGCATTTGTTATGTCAAACATCTCTTGACGAACATCATGAGAAAGAGCTTTACGAGTATGACCAACGTTCGCATTTGTTATGTCAAACATCTCACGCCTTACTTCATGAGGTATTGAACGTCTATGATATAAGTCAATAGCAACGTCATTTAAAGGAAATGCTATTGCATGGACTTCGTCCTCGCCGCGTTGCGGCTTTATGAACTCATGAATTCTATCATAACTTATTGCACCATTATAGTCTTTAATGAAGTCAGCGAGTGCTTTTTTGTTTGTTGCGTAATGCTTTGCTACTTCTATATTAGCTTCTGTAAGAAGTTGTTTTATTTCCGAGTGTTCTAACTTAGACAACTTCCGATACATCTTTAGTAGGAAATAAAAAAATATTTTTTTGAAAAAATTAGATTACATTTTTTAAGTTATTTTTCAAAATAATTTAATATTTTTATTTTAATGAAACACATGCAAGATTGCAAGTTCTTTTCATACAATGCTCTCGCTACTGCCATCAAGAATGAGTTCAATGGTGCTTCAAACGTTAATGTTATCTTTAACAAGAAGTTTGTGAAAGAATCTAAGTTTGGTCAGTATGTCAGACCATTAGCTATTGTCATTGACCGCAAACGTTATACTTCACAAGAGTTAGCAGTAGTTTTGAAACAAAAGAGTATCTTCGTGAATGTCAAAGATACTCATTATACTGTTATAAAGAACTCTAACATTGACTTCTTCAGTATTGCTATGAATCTTTCCGAACAGAAAGAATATAAGAAGGGTGAAACAAATGTGAAATATTATCCTTCATCTCTGAAGACAATAACGAACAAAGATGTTATACAGAAATTCTTACCAAAGGTTGAAGAAGCTTCAATTGACATTGACGAAGGAAGTGAAATGGTTGAAGAAATTGACCCTGAAGCTATTTAAGCAAAAATATATTTTTGGTTAGTCTTCATATCGATATTTTACAACAATTCCCCAATGTATAAACTTTTCATACGCTTTTTCATAAGCTTTATATACCTTCAGAAATTTTGCATAATCTTTAGAAGCATTTAGATATTGTTTAAATGCTTTGTATGTCTTCAGAAATTTTGCATAATCTTTTACATGTTGTTCGTTCTCTTCTTCTGTCATGAGTTCCGAATATTCTAAATTCATGTTCTTTCATATGAGATAAAATTTTATAAAAAAAATAAAATTAGCTTAGATTTTTTTATTCTTCCTCTTTGAAGTTATCGAAATATTCTGTTATTTTTTCCTTCAGTAATGGTAAGTCTTCTTTGAATGTAAGTATTGTGCAACCTTTGATGTCATAGTGTGTTTGAGGAAGAGTACTTTTGACAATTTCCTTTATTTGCTCATTCGGTGTCATTGAAATCGGTAAGTTTTCACGATAGAACCAGTTTCTGTCAGATTTGTAAATCTTAGCAAGGTCATAAAAGCTTTTGTTGTTTCTTCTGACTAAATGCAACATAACCATATCTCTGTCTTCTTCTTTCTCCAACTCTTCAGTATATATCATATACTTATAACTCTTTTCCTTTCCTTTTGGTACTGAACGCGGTATTCTTTTCTGTATGCTTTTGTCTTTGGATTCAATGACTTCATCTTTTGCTTGAAGTTTCTTTTCCAGCTCTCCACGTTCTTGTCTGTGAAGTTCGTCAAGAAGTTTGTAAATATTCCAAGCATAACGTGGTGAAGCCCACATTGCAACTGCATTTACTAAAAGTCTATGAACATAATATCCTCTCAAACCGTTTGGCAATTTTTCACGGTTTTCGAATGGAATCTCTTCCCTCGGTTTTCCGAGGGAAGCAATCATATGAGGAAATTCTTCTAAAAGTTCTTTTGCCTGTTGGTTTTCAAACCAATGATATGCTTGCTTTGTAGAACTAAGAGCATTCATTATACTTTGCATTTGGTACATGTCATCTTTGACTGAACGAATGAGTCTCAATTGTTTGTTATACTGTATGTATTCGTATTCTTCATTTATGGCTTCATGAACGATAGCAGTTGTTGTGTTCTCTAATGTTGACATTACTGTCTTTACATACAAAATAAAAAAATAAATAAAAATAAAATTAGCGTTATTTTTTCTATCTTTCACAAAAGACCAAAAATAAACGCTTTACATGTATTTTTCAGCAACTTCGTCAAATAATTTTATAGCTTTATCTATCTCATCTACTTCAAACGTTTCTTTACCTTTTATGGGAGCACCATACATTTTCTCAAACTTTTCGAGTAGTTCTGTTTCTGCGGCTCTCATATCATTAACGAACACAACCTTGACTCTATTGACTGTACTGTCATATCTTAGAGTTATATTATATGTTCTTCCTATCTTATATCTTTTTGTGTTGAAGTCCTTCGGTTTCTGAACGATGTAAAGTAAGCCTTCACTGCAACGTTCCGTATCGAATGAACCATAAGTTATGAAGTTATATCCAACAACTGGGTCAATCCATAACAAAACTATTGGTATAAGACTTTTGTCGATGAGATATGCTGTAGTTCCATAGAATCTTACTGATATCATAAGCTCAGGATTTCTTGTCAAAATTTTCTGAGTTGAAGCATTTCTAACCCAGTCGTGTGTTTTCTTTCCAGATGGAAATATAATGTCTGACAAAGAATATTTGTTGTATTTTTTGAGTATCTTACGTTTAAATCACCTATTCTAACCAATTTGGTGTCATTGTCTATCTTTCTAACTGTTTCAAACTCAATGTTTGACATATATGTCTTTACATACAAAATAAAAAAATAAATAAAAATAAAACTAACTTTATTTTTTCTGTCTTAAGGAAATTCACGATTTTTGTTGCTGAATTCAGCAAAAATATATTTTAGGGTAGATGGTTAGATCTAACCTCATTTCTACCCTCTTTTCTACCCCAGTTATTTTATAAGCGTTTTACATGGTAAACGTTATTTTTTAAATTTTGTGAAAACTCAACGGTTTGACACATGCCCTAAAAATTATTTTACTCAGAATTTTGTTGCTGAATTCAGCAAAAATAATGTTTAGGGTAGAAGGTTAGATCTAACCTCATTTCTACCCTCTTTTCTACCCCAGTTATTTTATAAGCGTTTTACATGGTAAACGTTATGAATTCGTGAGACTTTAAACAGTTTTGTAGCTTCTATTTCTTCTTTTAGTACATCGAATGTTTTAACAATGCCGAAAGTTTCTTTATATTTCTTCTTGACATCAGATAATAGGAAATCGTCAGCAGTTGGATAGTTTTTGTTCAGAAATTCTAACATGTTCATTTTATCTTCTGCTGGTTTTTCTGCTTCTTTCTTTAAGTCTGCATAGTCGTTTCTCATACGTTCTATCTCTTTGACGGAGTAGTTATATCTCCTCATTGCTGCTTTACATTTAGAACATTGCGGGTTCATTTTTGCGTTATACATTGAAATAAAACCAGCTAAAACAACTAAAGCGTCAATTGCTCTCTTCATCTCAAACATAGCGGGTCTTATTTGTTTGTTCCATACCTTACCTCTTCTATCTTTATCTCTTATCTGCCATACACATTCAGCAACTAACGAAACAAAGTTGTCGTAGGTCTTAAATTCTTCAGATTTATATATGTCAGAGATGTTCTTATATACCATGTCGCAATCTTTGTCCATAACCTTATGGTTGCAATGAAATCCTAGAAACTCATAGTTTACCTTTCGTATGAACTTCTTTATTTCTACTGAGTCAGTTGCTTTGACTTCAATTTCATCGAATTCAGGAATAGTGAGTTTTTGTTGTTGGATTTCAGGTAGTTTGGGTAAATGGTCGATGAGGTCCTGCATTTCATAAAGATACTGTTCATTTGTTTCATCTTTCGCACTACAGTCTAAATTACTTGTTAAAAGTTCTTGCTTTATCTTCTGGATTTCTGTTTCAAAAGTATATGAAGAAGGAATGAAGCTTTTCATTTCTACTAACATAGATGTTGGATTCATGACTAACGAGTTTGGTGCTGTTGTTTGAATTGTTGTTGTGCCGATTGTTGAAATCATGTCTTTTATACAAAATAAAAAAAATAAAAAAAATAAAACTAACTTTATTTTTTATTTCGGGAAAATTCATGAAAATTCAAGAGGTGAAAAAACAGGTGAGATCTCACCTCTTCACCTAAACTTTATTTTTGGGTCCTTTACACTCATTACGAAGAAGTCTTGACAAAACATTTACGAAGAAGTCATGACAAATTCAAGAGGGTAGAAATGAGGTTAGAAAACAGGTTAGATCTAACCATCTACCCTAAATTATATTTTTGGGTCCTTTACACTCATTACGATGAAATCATGACAAAACATTTACGAAGAAGTCATGAAAATTCAAGAGGTTAGAAAACAGGTGAGAAAACAGGTTAGATCTAACCATCTACCCTAAATTATATTTTTGGTGTAAATTTCATGATTTTCGAGAGTTTTAGACCATGTTAGAAAAGAGGTGAAAAAACAGGTGAGATCTAACCATCTACCCGACATTCTCGTCAAATACAAAAAAATACAAAAAAATGACACTTTTTCATTAGATAACTGTTATTTTTTGACGAAGTGAAGGTTGACACTTCGTCAAAAAAATCCCTGAAATCATATCTTACATACAAAAAAATACAAAAAAATGACACTTTTTCATTAGATAACTGTTATTTTTTGACGAAGTGAAGGTTGACACTTCGTCAAAAAAATCCCTGAAATCATGTCTTTACATACAAAAAATACAAAATAAATAAAATAAAACTAACTTTATTTTTTATTTCGGGAAAATTCATGAAAATTCAAGAGGGTAGAAATGAGGGTAGAAATGAGGGTAGAAATGAGGTTAGATCTAACCATCTACCCTAAACATTATTTTTGGTCATGGACTTCGTCCTCGCCGCTTTGCGTCTTTATGTTAAAATAAATGGTACCATTAATGATATCATGACTGTTCTCATTCATGTCTGATTTACATCCAACGAAAAAGTTTAGAAGAATTTTCTTATTCTTTCTGGCATGTTTTTATCTTTCCAGTACTCCCGCTCTAATGGTCCCAGATGAGTTGGTTTAGATTCTCTCAAGTTCTTAGATGGTATAACATCTTCAACGCCTCCTTCATATCTTACTTTATAAGTGTCATCGTTTATGTTGTAGTCAAGTATTTCAATAACCACTCCTCGCTTTGCTTCGTCAATGGTTTCAGCAAGTTTGCCATTACTACTTTCGACTAATTTATGACGAGGGTAAAATGCTATGGAGTCGTCAGCAGCTTTTATAAGATATCCATTACCTTGCGTAGAGTCTACGATATAATAATTTCGACTTAACCTTAAACGTTTCTTTGTCAACGGTTTGTCGTCAAGAACTACACGAACTTTTGTTCCAGGAATGAGAGTAAATTGTGTTGAATTTCTGATATTTTGTGTTTGACTTCGTTTCTTTTGTATATACTTTTCTTCTTGTTGTTGTGTCATTGAATTTGGTGTATGTCCTGTTGTAGAATGTGTTGAGGAATTGTAAACTTCGATGAAATGTTTCATTGTTTCTTCGGTAAAGTCTCGCTCTTGATTTAAATCTCTGAGAGTCCTTATGAAGCGGTTAATGATACCGAGTATGTTATGGTTATGGTCTTCAGTAGTGTAGTGAGTTATGTTATGCTTAATGAGAAATTCTGTGATTTCGTTGCTGAGGTATGCACCGTCTTGGTCTGATGTTAAAATACTTGGGCTATGTTCTGCTACAAACTTTTGTAAAACTCTTAACACTTCATGAGTTCCTTTATTTCTCATTATATACGCAAAAGCTTTGCGAGTGTTAACATTAATGAAGATGAGGAATGGTTTATGTCCTCCTTTTCTGCTTTGAATGAGAGTGTCAAATTGGTATGCGTCAGGAGTGTTGGAGTAAATTGGTAAAAAGTAGTCGTAAGGATTTATTTTTGTTTGATGTACAACATTTTTGTCAAAGAACCTTTTCACTTCAGCTCTGTTAGTAAATCCCGAACTCTTTGCAGCTTCATTGAATTTCTTAAAAGACCTCCATGGATGTTGTTCGAATACTTCTTTCAAGCTCATTTATGTAAAGTTAAAGATTTTAACCAACTCGTATCCAAGCGTGCATTGTTATATAAGGAGGCATATAATCTTTTCCATTACCTGCTGGGTCTGTAATACCAGCTACAACATGTGTATGATTTCCTGCAGTTCCACAGAAAATACCTGTGCTAACATCTTTGGGGTCATCTGAGATATCATATCTATTCATTCCCTGTCTATTCGAACCCGCTGCAAGATTTATATAACCTCTTTTTGTTATTGAATGTGAATGGTTTCCTTCCACAGATGTTCTTCCACTGAACCTATGCATATGTGAAGGAAGGTTTTCAATACCTATTTTCTTTGAACCTCCCATCTTCATTGACTGCGTATTAGTGTAGAATGGAAAACTGTCAACTATTTCATACCATCTACCACCAAATAAAGTGTTTGGATTTATTGGATTCATAGACGTATAAACAGCTCCTATAGGATATATTAAATCATATATGCTCATAACTCTATAAACATATTCTAAAGAACTTATGTCATTAAATACCATTTGGAATGTATCTCCCGGATGAAATGTTGCATTTGTTCCACTTTTATAATGTAATGTTAGTTCAATAGAATTATCCAAGAAAAATTCAAAAGTATCTGGTTGAAGACCTCTAACAAATTCAAATGGAGTTGCTGGTTCACCATTTATAATTTCTGTTGTAAATGTCATTGTATCTGGTTTCGAAAATTTCTTTGTTAGTTCTGTATCCACATAAGTTTTGTCGGCTTTACTGTCTAACATTGCTGGTAGTTCATATGCTTCAAAGTTTCTGGCATGACCTTCGATATTCCTGCAACTCTTATCTAAATTGTTAAGAGTATCTTTTACGCTTGTACTCGGATTCTCTAAAGGTGCACTTGAACCCAAATCATAGTTCAATATTATGTCGTCTGCTCTAACAGTAGTGAAGGATTTATGTGTATGATTTTTGTCGGCTTTACTGTCTAAAGAAGTTTGAAGTTCATTTATATCGGAGATATTGTGTTTATGAGATTTCAAAACTTTGTTCGTTGCGTCAAGTTCTGTTTTGTCAGCTTTACTTTTAATAGCATCTTCAAAAGTTATTTTTGACTTAACTCTCAAAGTAAATCTTGGTTCAACTAATACACCGTTAACAAAGAAGTATGAAGCATAAATTTCAGCGTTATAACCAAATGATTGTGGTGCTATACCTGTGTCATACTGTACAGTACAGTGTATGTCATAACCTTTAGCACGAATGAATTTATATCTTCTTTCATTAACATTTTTCGTATTCACTTTTTCACCCTGTGTTAAATATCCATGATAGTCCGTTATAATCTGTTCATCAGAACTTATATAATGAACATGGTTTTTGTCTGCTTTATTGTCTAAAGAAGTTTGAAGTTCATTTATATCGGAGATATTGTGTTTATGAGATTTCAAAACTTTGTTCGTTGCGTCAAGTTCATTTTTGTCCGCTTTACTATTTAATGTAGCTTGAAGTTCATTTATATCGGAGATATTGTGTTTATGTTCTTTATCTGCTTTTTCGGCTAATTTCTCTTCTATCTCATTTATTTCAAGTTCATGCCTACCACCACCTCCCGAAGAAGTATTTTTCTTCAGCTCTTGAAGAACGTCCACTTCGCCATCTTTGGTGTCAATAATGAGACTTTGAGTTAAAACCTTTCCTGTCTTAATGGATGTTTGTAAAACTTCTTCTTCACCGTGTTCGGGGTCATGGTCGTCGTCATATCTTGTGAAATCAGAGATGTTGTCATACATTAAGCATATCTGTCTCAAAAGTTCTGCTATTTGGAATTGGAACGAAAGATATACAGAACTTTCATCATCTCCTAAAGTCAAGTCTGCTTTCTTAAGTATTTCTTGAATGTATGCAATGAGAACAGAGTACCTTGGAAAATATTCGAACAATATTTCATTAGCTGTTGGTTTTGGTGGTTCTTCTGGAGTTTCTGTTGTTTCAGTTCCTTCTGGAGTTTCTGTTGGAGTTTCTGCATCTCTTGACTTCAATGCTCTTGCTCTCAAAGACCTAAATGTTAGAGCACCGGGTTTTACAAAGGACTTTATAAATGCTTTAATAGTTCCTGGTAAGTTATTGTTAGCATTAAGTAAGTTCCTTATGCTTCCATCATGTACGTCCATAGCACTATGTAAAAAATCTATACTTTTCTTGTAGTCAGCAATAGACTGACTGTGATTTTTTAAAGATTTGTCAATACCTTTAAGCCAATCTTCATGCATGTCTGATACTGAGCCAAGAATATCATTTGCTTCCTTTAGTGTATTTTGTGCTTTTCGTAAAGTATCCAATCCCGTACGTGCATTGTTTGCTATACGTCTTACAGTATCTATTTGACTCCTTGTTTCTTGCATCCAACCAGATAAAGTTTTAATAGTATCCGAACCATTTGAAATGAAGTTCAAAGCATTTTTAACATCATCTAAAGCTTCTTCACCAAGTACTGCCCATATCTTTCCGATTTGGTATTGAAGAACTCCATATGAAGCAGCTGTTAAACCAGTATTTATAAGGTCCCATATCCATGATTTAGCAGTTTTTCCATCCTTTCCATCCTTTCCATCCAAACCGTTTTCGCCTTGAGGTCCTTGTATTCCTTGAGGTCCTTGTATTCCTTGAGGTCCTTGTATTCCTTGTGGTCCGGTGTCACCCTTCTCTCCTTTCAGTTCATCTTTATGTTCGTTATAATATTCTAATGTCATAAGGTGTACATCATTACTGCTACCAGCAACTCCTAATATTTGTTTCTCATTCATGACTAAATTCTTTAGGCATTTAATGTTGTCGTCAAATCGAAAGCTCTTTAACAATTCAATGAGAACATTCAGTACTTTCACTAATGAGGCATCTACTGTAGAATTTATATATTGCACCGTTCCATCATTTATGATAGGAACTTTACTTATTGTAATGAATGGGTCATAAGTGTTAAAAGTATCGAAATCAATGACTTTTTTAGTTTTTCCATCGTCAATGACTAAATCATTGCCTTCAATGGTTAAAGTTGAGTTTTCGTTTACTAGTTCATGTGCTCTTCTTGCTTCATTTGTTTCATACGCATATGCAGCAATAGTCATATTTTAATGAGAATAAAATGTTGTTCTATTTGCAAAGTACTGACCCAAACGAATACGGAACAGTAAAGCTACAAACAAACTTAGGTCTTCAGAATGAAGCGCTTGCTTTCAGAGTTGTTGACTTCAATACTATCGCAACTTTTGTCATAACAGATGAAACAGATTTCATGGAGTTTGAAATAGATGGAAAGAAGCATGAAATAAGATTTCACAATAATGTAGAATATAAGATGGAAACATTAGCTGGAGTGTTAAATGCGCTCATAAATACTACAATAAACAAGGAGAACGAAGAAAACTTAATGAATGTTAAACTTATTGCAGGAGTTTTGAAGTTCAGTTATGCGAAGGAGTTTAAGATAACACGAATGAGTCATAGAGTTCAATTGCTTCTGGGAGCATACCATATGACATTTCCTTTGAAAAGTATTGACAAAACGATTGAGATGAAATCTGTTCCATACGTATGTTATGGCAATTGTTTATACATTGAGTCAAAAATAGCTAATGTCACAGGTATTTCAGGAGTTAATAGTAAAGGTTCAGTAGAATATAAGTCTTTCTGTTATGAAGTAAATTCAATGTTCATTCCAAACGTTCCTGTCATAGCAACTCATTTAGGTAAATGGGTTCGCATTAGTCCTCATAATTTGAAAGACATGCAATTCAGACTAGTTGACTTTCAAGGAGAGCCTGTAGAACTGAAGGCACCAGTGCGAATGACTGTTGAAGTAGACTTTTTAGAAAATATTAAATGCAACAGCTTACAAGAGAACTCAGAGCTAAAAATATAAAGTATGAATGTTATGTATTAGGTCATGAACTTTGGTTGTTGCTGTTTGATGAAACAAATGAGTTAGTTATGTCAGTCAAGAGAACAGAAAAAGGCGTCAAAGGCGCCGAGCGCAAAGCGCTATATTGTGTTAGTGAGAACTGCACCAAGTCAATAAGATTAGGTTTGCATTATGAAGATGAGTTCGATACTGTTGAAGAAGTTTTGGATAGATATTACAAATTGCTAACTTGAAATTTTTTTGACTAACGGCGCAAAGCGCCAAGATGGGCTCAAAGAGCCCTCCTGACTGCTTTAATTTACTAAAACATATTTCAAACATAATTTATATTCTGTTGAAAGTTTTGTATACTCGTTCGAATATTTATACTTAAACTCAACTCCTGGAGTACCTGGTATTTCAATGATGCGGATGTTACCTATTTTCATGAATGGTGGCGTTTGACCACAGCATTCGATTTCAGGGTCGAGATAGTCAATGACACATTGTTTCCCTGTTATTCGTGATATAACATTTTCAAGGTCCTCCTTTGTTAGAATTATTTGGTTCTTGCTTATAAGATTTGTCAAAAGCTTCTTATCGTCTTTGAGTAAGATAGTTTGATATAACTGAAGAAGGTAATGGTCTACGTTATCTGAAGGATTTGTTTGAACATTTGTGTAAGGGTTGTCGTTGGCTTCTCTTGAAAGAATTTGGTCCAGTGGTGGATACTCTAACTTAACATCTGATGTAGCGTTAGCGTTTGAAGCTGAGTTTAAATTCACGGATTTCAGTTCTGGTTCTTTTTCTTTCAAACACTCCGAACTATAGTTCTTTATGACAATATTGTTTGTCGTTCGTGAGTCAACATTTGATGTTGGTTCAATTGGAACATTAACGGCACCAGCTAAGATGGATTTGCTTCTCATTTCATATAGAATAAAAAACCTTTTATATGTATGAAATGAACAATATACTCGACAAGGGTTTGAATGTAAAGCTAACGAATGAAAATATTGTTGAATTCACTGAGACAGGTGCTGTGTATAAAGATGTAGAACTACTGAACAAAAGAGCTAAGGGAAGAAGCAGGAACATGAACAAAGGGTGGAAGCCTATAAAAATTTATGTCAATGATGGCTCAGGAGGTTCAAACATAAAGTATGCAGAAAGTTATAGAGTTTATGCGCTAAAGGTGAAAAGCCTTCATTTAAGAACAGCTATTCTAACGCATATCCTCAAAAGTTAACGGATGGGGAAGTGGATGATATGAATGACAGCAAAAATATTAACAGAAATGGCGACAGAGATGCATGGAATTTGTTTACCATCAGTCAATTGAAGGTTAAACTTTAAAACAATGTTGGTCGTTCCCATGGAATATTTTTGACTTTAATGGTATTAGTCATGATATGAATCTCAAGGTATGAACGAGGAGAGATGAGAGACTTATATGCTTCCCAAATTTCTTCAAAAGGTAATGTTATACCTGACTGTTTCCAAATGAGTTCAATATCATAGTGAGAAACCTTGAAAGATAACGAAGTCAGTTATGAGACGTTTTATGTTTAAAGCTAAAAACCTCCATGTTTGCATAAGTATTGCTACAGTTAAGTGGTAATGTCTGACTTTAGTTGATGTTAGCTAATGGTGAGTCAGGCTTTGACACTAAACCTTTTCCGGCGAAGTCGTCGCAAACGAGCAGAGTGTTTGAAGGATACTTTTTGAAGGGGTATTTTGAAAGTTTTGACAGAATGTAGTTTGTAAGTCGTTTCATATCGTAAACTCCTGAGTATTGACGTAAGTGGTGTTTGTCAATAATTCTTTCCATCTCTTCTGAAGTCTTTTGCATTCCTGACTGTATAAATTCAACGATGGCATAATATTTCCTCTTACGTCGAATGTAACGTTGAAGAAATTCAATGAGTTCGCTCTGGAACTTTAACGACAGAGGCTTGAACTTTTGACATAAATGTTTTCGCTGTTGAGTCCATAGAGTCTGAAGTTGCTGATATAATGATTTGGTCATAATATGAATCTTTCCTAAACGCTCTGTTATGAGTATATGACGAATGAGGTTAAATGTCTTACCTGACCCATCTTTCCACAATAGAAATAAACACCATTTGAACAGAACTCATAGTCCTTACTGAAAGGAAGAATAGAGAAGAGTTAAGTTTGTCTGTAGTTTCATTCATGTCTTCATCTACGTCATGTATTAAATGCTTCATTTTATCTCCATTAAAAATGCAAGTCAGAAATATTCAGAACATAGCACCGAGTCTAACTGACAAGAGTATAAAGATATACTATGAACACGTTATGATGAAACCAACCAAAATTCAAGAAAGTCAGTATACTTATGAATATCCAAGACACTGGGTAGAGTATGTAGGAGGTGAGAAAGCTATTGAAATAAGACAAGTTAGAAGTATTCCAGCAGGAAGGACAATATTATTGAAGAACTTTAATGTTTTGAGATATAATGATGAGACAAAGAAGCAAGATAGTTTTCCTATTGCTGTGTATGTGAACCTAGACACAGGAGATGACATGAAAGTTTTTAACACAAAGCTTCAAACGGTAGTGAGAGAACAACTGACTGCGGAAGGACACCCATTACCTTCAGAAGTTACCATAGCGTATAATTTTGAAACAAATGCAATAGATTTTAAAGTCGTCTCTGCAAAGAAGTCAGGTTTTACATTTAATGAAGCAGATGTATATTCGAATGAAAACTTCAAAGCTATTGCATGGTTAGATAATGACGATTGCTTTAAGAAAATATTTAAATTCAGTGACTCAACGATGTCAATAGATGACCTTCGTGGAATGTTACCATCGACGTTTACAGTAGAAGGTTCAGCAGGATTGCTTACAAGATTGTCAATTGGTGGTATTTGGTCTCGTGAGAACATTGTTATAAAATCCAGTATAAGTGAATTTGCTGAAGAATCTATATTATGTCTTTCAAACTATATGTATTCGCCGCCGAAGCATTATAGTATAACAAACTTTGTCAGTAAGTTTAATATAAGACTTGTCGAACCTTCTTCAATGAAAGATGTTGTGCTACCAAAGACGGAAAGGATGGACTCATTATTGAGATGATTTTAATAGCATATTAAATGAGCTTGTTCTTGAAGGTCATTCATGATGAAATAACTGTTGTAGAAGATGTTAGCAATTGTTCAGACATTTTGAAGCGTATAGATGATATAAGAAAGAAGTTAGATAGACCGCAAAGCGGTGAGGGCGAAGCCCGTGAGAACGCTTATGTTTCATTGACTTTCTCCAGTAACGAGATCTTTATGAGATAATATTGAAGAGAGATGATTTTAATATGGTGTAAATGGTAGCTTGGGCAGCTTTAGGCGCAATGGGAACAAAAGCATTAGCATTTGGAGCAAAAGCACTTGGAGCTTATGACGCAGTAAATAAAATGAGTGGAGGAAGGGTTTCGAAGACATTAGATGCAAATAAAGGGAAGATTGGAGGCTGGGTTGCAAAGAAGTTAAGATTAAATAAAATAGGGCTCATAAATAAAGCATCCAATTTGGTTGCGACTGAGTCAGAAAATGCTTTAGGAAAGGACGATGAGTTTGCAAAACACGCAAAAGACTTTAATGACCAGATGAAAGGTGAAACAATGCATTTAAATAGATTCGATGGAACTAAAGAAAATGTTTCTTCTCCACCAGTAGTTCTTCCGTATGGTCCCTATGGAATGTATGGAAACCCTTACGAAAGACCATTTGACCCATTGACTGGTGGAAGTAACTGGTATCATTACGGACGAAGAAGAAAGACAGTCAAGTGGAGACAGACGTGAAGAAAGCAACTAAAAAGAAACCAAGGAAGAGAGTTATAAAGCAATGAATTCAACAGACCCAAAGGGTCAGAGCCGCTTTGCGGCTAGGGTGAAAAAACAGGTGAAAAAAGAGGTGAGATTCACCACTTCACCTAAATTTATTTTTGCGCTATGTTTTCATACGTGTGAGGGTGGTGATATCATTAATTTTTAAGTTTATTTTTTATTTTACTGAAATTTTTATTTTATGTAAATGACGAAAACTATTGAGATAACAAACTACAACGGTCATGAGTTCAAGAATTTGTTCTTCGTTCCTCGTGAAAATACATTCTATCAGATACGAGGGAGAAAGGGTAAAGTTAGTTTGAGCGTTTATGAAGGAATGAAGAATGGAAAGTTTATACAAGCATACGATACAAACGGTAAACGTGTTTCATTAGCTTTGTCAAAACTTACTAACATTCATTTTGACAGTGATTTGACCTATATGAAGAAGAGTGATCAGAAGATTATGAACTGTTATGTGAAGCACAGCAATGGGAAGTTGCAATACTTTTGTAAGTGAGAACGTTTATTTTTTTACAGTAGTGAGGTGAAGTGGTTGGCGGCTTTATAAATATTTAAGGTTAAGTTGGTGTTGTGTTTGTGTTGTAAAATATACGTTACTGGTTTTGTAAGTGTCAAAAACAGCTAAGTTGTGTACGGAGGCGCGCAGTGCCTCAGTACACGACTTAGGTATACTAACTAAGTTTGTTTATAGCATCTTGAAGTTCTTGCAACTCATTGGAAGTTCTTCTGGTTCAGGTTGGTATCCGAACAATCCAACTCCTTTTGGAATTGTGTACTTCTTTTGTACTAGAACTTTGTCTGGAACAACTTTTGGTCTTGCTAACAGTGAAAAGTTTGTTTCGTCTTTTGGTACAAAAGTTTCTGTCAGCTTGTCATCTGGAATTGGTTCCAACAAACCTTTCTCGAAAAGAATGTTTACAGCTCTGACAATGTTGCACTTGCCTTTTCCGAACAATGGGTTTGTAAGACTTTCGTTCAACATGAAGTGGTTGTGGACAATTACATCTTCACCATGGTAAATTGAACTCAACAACATAGTCGTCATGTGAAGAACCTTTAGCTGTAGGTATGTTGACTCGGATATTGACATTTGCCAACGGTGCAATTTTTGCCAATTGACCTCTGAGAATGTACCTTGTCTTCAACACATGACTCAAGATACTTCATCTTCTCTCTCTGAAACAAGACCAGAGTTCCTGAGACATGTAAGAATGCAAGGTTCATTGACAATTGTTTCAATTGAATTGTAAATTCCATACCTTGTCAAGTCAATGTCAACTTATTTATGAACGGAAAGTATCCAATGTTGTCTGACTGCTTGAGGGTTAGGTTGGTACCATTCGAACTTGACACTTGCAATTCCTTCAATTGCATTCAAAATGTCTGAGTCGGAGTCAACCATTTGTTCTCTCTTTGTAGTCTTGAAAGCGTCAAGAAAGTTTTGCAGCTGTTTGTTCATTGCCATTTGCATAGTAAATGTGACCATCCAAATCTGTTTATGGTCAATCTGAGATTGTGTCCTTTCTTATTTCCGTCTTGAATTGCAGCAAGTACACCCATGAAGCCTTCTTTGTTCTTTCCTTCGTCAAAGTTTACTGTAAAGGTTCGACCAGATGTAATTTGACTTCTAACTTCACGATACTTTTATATGCATATCTTGTTCTTTCCATGGGAGCATGACCATCCTCTGCACTACCTTTTTTCCTTCTCAAAGGATGCAATTGTTCGTCATGTTTCCAGTAGAATCTGGCAAAGCCGTCGTGTCCTTCAACTTGAGGTTCACTAACATCGAAAGGCATGTTCATAAGACGTTCTTCTTCTAACCTCTCTAGTCTGTTTGGATAATTTGCACGTGCTGTTTCCAAATCCATTTCGTAGGTCAGACCAGCCAGTTTGTCATAGACTTTTATGGGTCTTCCTTCCTATATTTAAACTTCTTCGAAACTCTCCAACCATATCTTTGCAACTCTGCTTTTATTCTAGCAGATTTTCTATCCATTCTATATGGGGGCATTTTTATAAAAATAAAAAAATATATTTTTTTCTTTACTTAACATAACCGCCTGCTGCCATAAGTCTTTGACGCCAACCCATACCAGCTAATGAAGGTTGACTTGGTTTAGTTTGGAAACTAAACTTTGGTTTTGGTTTATCTTCAGTTTTTGGTTTTTCTTCTTCTATCGGTTTTTCGTCACTTTTCGGTTCCTCTGACTTTACCTCACCTGCAGGAACAGTTGTGTCGTCAACATCTTCATAAATATCATATGCCATTTGTTTTTGTTTTCTTTCAACTTTTTGTGTTTGTTGTAAAGTTTAGAATATTTCGACTCTAAGTCAATGAGATGTTCTATAATGAATGTTGGTCAGTGAAGTAAAACTTTTCCATCTGTTGTTCGAAAGCTCCTTCAGACTTCAATATTTTATTTGTGAGAGTCTGTTTCTTTTTTGAGATACTAGCCGTTCCATTTCTATGAAAGTGACTTTATAGTTAGGGTTTGTATTTCCAGACCTGGCACTTTCTATTATTGAATTTTTTTCTCTTCATCTGTAAGTTCTTTGACAGGTTTTGACAATGGTTCTGAACTTTTTGTTTGTGTGTCAAATCTACCGTTTCAACTTCTTTCGGTCATTTCATCTCAGTAAAAAATTTTAGTTTGGTTTGTTTTCAACTGGTTGTTTAGGTTTTTTAAGTCGGTCTAAAACTTCCTGAGGTATAGGAAGAACTTGACAAACACGTTGTGTAACTGCTGGAAGTCGACAAATCCATCTTGAACCCATTTGTCTCAATGCTGTATTGTTCATTTCATCTCAGTAAAAAACTTTACATTCCCACGTTTGAGGCGGTTTGAGGTTGGTTATTGTTTACCCATTGTTGTGCATGGTTATATCCTCTGTTAAAGAATCTTTTCACCTTGGTCCATATAGTTGTCCTGCTTGGTTTTATAGTAGTCATTTGCTTTGTTATAATAGTTTCCTGCTTGTCTTCCTACATTGTCCATCCATCCTTGAACTTTTCCTCTTGTTTCAGGATTTGGAATAAGATTTGTTGCATCTCGTGCTACATCCAACCTTTCTGTACAGTTTGTATAATAGGTTTGCTTTCTCTTTCAGTATACCTAATGTACTCAAAATCTTCCTTCCAACTCCAAATACACCTCTGGCTATTGTTCACTGCGGGCAAAATCTAGATGCAACTCCTGCTAATGCGCCAAATAAACCATTTCTTATAGGGTAAAAATGAGAATCCAAACAAGGACCCCTATGTTTCTAAGGCAACAAAAAAAGCACTCATGTAAAAATCTTTAGTTCAACACCAAATGCTTGGTTTATGGATATCTTGGAAAACATTCCGAGGTATAGAGAAGATGGACCACCATACTGGCTAATATTTGTCGGTCAAAACACAAGATACTGTGAAGCCATACCATTACAGTCAAAGCTATTTTAGATATCTTAAGCAGCTTTGACCAATATTCGTTGACAAATACCATCCAACAAAACTGACATCTGACTGTGAAAGTTCTTTCTTTCAAATCAGATGATGTAAAAACTATCTGCGTTCAAAAATGTAAACCAATATTTCATTGTCGACCAAAACATTCTGCTCTTGTGTCATTGACGGTTGTATAAAATGTTAAGAGACTTAAACCAACCACAAGGTGGTGAAGCAAATGAAATGTCATATGACGACAAGTATAGACACTTCTCCATGGCAAAGATGAGACAAGTTTTAAATATTTACAATAACCGTAACAAAAAGGTTTGGGAAACCACTCCCCCGAAGAATGAAAAACAACCCTGACTTAGAGAAAGACTATATATTTAATAATTTAGTCAAAGAGACAAACAAGAAAGAATGCCGGGCTTCAAACTTCAGAAAGGTGACAAAGTAAAAATAGAAATACCTAAACGCGACCCATATGAAAATACTATTGACTATGAACAACAATGGGAACCCGACAGGTACTCACATTCGTGTTCGTAAAATAGAAGAAAGTATACAAGAGAATATTATGAAGTTTTAGGCAACATGGCAAAATGTACAGACTGCAAGCAGAAGATAAAACTACTATTGTCAGACCTCGTTTTCAAACTTGTCAAAGTTCAAGGTGGTATACTTTCAAAGACAGTTCCTAACAAATATAAGACAATCCTGACGAATATGCTAAAGAAGTTGAAAATGACGACTAAGCATTTCTATACCATGCGTAAACTGTCATGTAAGGTGGCATGTAGTCTTTACTTTGTCCCGTTGTTTGCGTATATCTGAAACGCGATGTGTATGGTTTCCTCTCCTCAGTGTTACTCCAGTAACAATCTATAGCAAACTTAACGTTGTCTTTAACATCATATCCTTTACCTTTTGTCATTGCTGACCAATCCAATATCTATGCTTATGCAACCTGCTTTGAGATGTACTTAAATCTATGTAGTGACTATGTGCAAACTATGAAGCAAAGGCCAAGTTACCAAAAGCGACACCAAAGAAGAAGAGAAGAGATAGAACAAAGTTGTGAAAATATGAAGAATAATTCATCTAGATGAAAGTAGTGGCAATGAAGGAAAGAAGAGTTAAAAACTCAGTCAGGAAGAAAGTAAAGCTTGGTCCGAGTGGGTTCTATTATGATATATAAATCCAACTATTCTATATTTTTACCATATGAAATGTACGCCGCTCAGAATATAACGCCAACAGTTGTGACCATGAACGAAATGTTTCCGAATGGTATAACGAATGCGACAATGCCATTAGAAGGTCAGAAAGTAGTTCCTGGAAAACTACGAATATACAACTGCTGT